GCCGGGCTCGGGCCGCCGAATACAAGCCCGTAGCCCGTTCAAGGTGAAATTCGGGCTCGGGCGGGCGGCCCGAAAATCTCGGGCGGGTCGGGTTCGGGTTCGGGCAAATCCTCGGGCTTTTCGGGCGGTCGCGGACGGCCCGTCTAAAGTTCCAGCACTACCTGAGACGGAGGTTTTGCATTTTCCTTCCAAAATTAGTTTCTATTTGTAGTAAAGATTAATTTTAGTATTTTATAAATCTGCTTAAACATATTTTTTAAAGAATTTTTTAAGAATTTACAGTCAAAATCAGAATCAGCTTAAAAACAACTTTAATTTATAAATTGTACGGGAATCAACATAACACAATTAATAAAACTTTCATAATACCCATAATACCCCTAATAAAATTTAAAATTTATAAAATTCTAAATTTAAAATTCAGATTCGTAATATAATATAATATATTATTAAATAATAATTTTATTGTATTATATTATATATAATAATAAATATACATTATATTGTAATTATATATATTATATTATAATATAATATAACAGTTATTTTTAATTAATATAGCTATTATTAAAATAATATTATTATATCAAAATTATATAATATATTATATAATAATAAATTTTTTGTATTATATTAAATATAATAATAAATATATATTATATTGTACTTATATATTATATTATAGTATAATATAATATAATAATAATTTTTAACTATATACAGCAATTTAACTTCATAATTTATCAAATGTTATTATATTGATTTTGAAATCAAAATAGTTATTATAATTATAATTTATCAAATACTTAGTTATTTTTTATAATAATTATTTTTTTTTCAGCATAGTTAAAAGTAATTTTTTTTAAAATCTACAGCACTACCAAACCAAGCCAGAGAGCTCTCCTTATCATTACTGACCTCGTTCATTGTACCAGTTTGACTTTTCAATTTCAATTTTGCTACGGTTAAAAGCTTTCATATAAAGTCATATCTAATTTTTTATGTTACAATTTAAATCTCTCATATAAAATTATATTTTTACTATAAATTAAAATTTTAAATTAACGAATTGAACGGGACCTTAATATTTAATGCTTACTTTTAGACTAAATAAAAAAAAAAGAAACCGAAAAAATCGAAAGATTTACCGCGCACACTC